AAACAAGAAATATAGTCATTGGATTATGTTTGTAATTTACTATAAAACAAGAACTAGAGTAATTGGATTATGTTTGTAGTTTACTATAAAACAAGAAATATAGTCATTGGATTATGTTTGTAATTTACTATAAAACAAGAACTAGAGTAATTGGATTATGTTTGTAGTTTACTATAAAACAAGAAATATAGTCATTGGATTATGTTTGTAATTTACTATAAAACAAGAACTAGAGTAATTGGATTATGTTTGTAGTTTACTATAAAACAAGAAATATAGTCATTGGATTATATTTGTAATTTACTATAAAACAAGAACTAGAGTAATTGGATTATATTTGTAGTTTACTATAAAACAAGAAATATAGTCATTGGATTATGTTTGTAGTTTATTATAAAATGAAATATAGTCATTGGATTATGTTTGTAATTTACTATAAAACAAGAACTAGAGTAATTGGATTATATTTGTAGTTTACTATAAAACAAGAAATATAGTCATTGGACTATGTTTGTAGTTTACTATAAAATGAAATATAGTCATTGGATTATGTTTGTAGTTTACTATAAAATGAAATATATCTTCTCTCTAATCTAATTGCCCAAGTGAAGTAATGTAGTAGTGATTTGGTTCAGCATAAGAAGATTCCTAAATTGTGAGCTTACCAAAGGACAGATAAATAGTGCTGTGTAAAATCTGTAGCCCATTCAGTACATAGAAGATTTTGAAGGAGCGTATCGTTGAACACATCCTTTCAAAAACAATGCCATTAATGTGTAAACCAAGTGTAGAAAGTTTTGAATTTTATCTACTGTTATTTATTGTACAAATTCAAAGTAGAGCTCTTAACATTGTCACTTTTGGTGATAAGTTGAATGAAATAAACATACATTATTGATTAAATTTACAATTAAAACTTTTTCATTATTCCTTATGAAACTTTGCTGTTTTAATTTGAAATTCTCTGTTGTAATTATTGGCTCTTCATTAAGCTCAAAAGTATATAAATATAAAGCAGGAAACAGAATCTGAGTGTTTCCAGAAGTCTGTTTTGAGGAATATCCTTTTAATTATTTAATTTTTAATTGCGACAAGCAAATTTGAATTATCAGGGATTCTTTAATTTTTTATAAAGACGATATTTGAATTTTAGTATAGTTTCATGTGATGCCTTTAAATGTATTCAAGTTTTGAAATTTTAGCATTTTGCCAGAGGTGGTTTTGACAGCCAGTATTTTGTTTACAATATTATCTACAGAATGCTGTACAAGTCCCCGTGAAAACCCCTGCTGAAAGAGTTGAAGAGAGTGCTCGACTACGGCAGCAGTTTCCAGTGTCTAGTGGGAATGTTCATAGAATGAAAGAATTAGAATGGGTTCCAGTGGATAAAGATGATAAGATTAAAAGTCAGCAGTCTAAAGTTGCAAGTAAACCAACCACAGTTACTGCTACAACTACCACAGTTCCAGAAGTAGCACTTGAGCTCCCAACTGCTGATTCTCAAAGTGTTGTGCCCATAATGCCAGTCATTAAGTCTCCTTGCCACATTCCGGTTATCCGTACACCAGTACAAAATGTCATTGTGGATAATTTCAATTATGGTTTGCTGCAGCCTCAACAAACAAGTGTGCCTGCTGTAGAAAAAACTGTTTTTCCACAAACCGATCAGGTAGTTTCATTAAAGGTTCTTAATTTATCATACTAGACTTGGTGATGTGCTCTTTTGTTTTGTTATATTATACATTAAACATTTGTCAGTGTTTTCATGACACTTTGCCTTTTGCAGCCAGTCTTTACACAACAAGACTGAGCAAACTTTGTAACAGTTGGAGTATTTTATTATTATTATTAAGGAGCTTTCATTCCTGATCAACCATGTTTTACATTTATAGCTATACCGTAAAACTTGAAAAAACTGACAAAGTCCACAAGAAAAAGCTTGTATAGTGTTTCAACTTTGTCACAATACACCTCTAGTATTGATGTAAATCTATGTGTAGTTTGAAAGTGGCTAAAATTAGCAACACTTTGTAATGCTTCCATGACATCTGAATTGTATTGATATCAGATAAATCAATTGTTTAAGTTAGCAGTGACCATTTGTTAGTTTAGGTATTAATTAAAAATTCTATGAAATGTTTAGCAAGAAGCAATCTGTGAGCATTAAAGAAATAGCACTCAAAATTAACTTCAATCTTACCACTGTCTTTACCATATGTGTTCCTTTAAGTTTAGACTTAATCACTTTCATGAGACTTTTTAACTCTCTTATGGTTCCTTTTAGTTTGTTTTAACTTTGATTTAAACTACATCACCACTAAATAACTTTAAAACAATTTTTTTTGTCTGGATAATTGCTACAATAATCATGAAATCTTAAATGAAGGTGACTACACTGTACTACTTCCTCTCGAGGTTCAGGTCTTGTTGCTAATACTACCTCTACTTTGTCTGTGGCCACTGAAGGCTCTTTGACTGTGGAAGGTCTTAGCACCACAATTCCTCGTGTCATGGGTTCTTTGATGCCATTTTACCTGTTGAGGACAATGTTTCTCCTCCAAATCTCTTTGTGGTGTTGATTATTCAGGTTTGTTCTCTACTTTTCCTTTCACCCTACAGACTTACAACACTAGAATCCGGGTTTCGATACTCGTGGTGGGCAGAAAACAGATAGCCCATTCTGTAGCTTGGTGCTTAATTACAAACAAACAAACTTTTCCTTTCTTTTGATTCTTCCTGTTCTTTGCTACATGACTGTCACACTGGTTTTCTTCTCTTCCAGACATATGAGTAAGTTAAATTATTCCTGTATTGATTTCATTCCCTATTTTTAAAGCCTCTTCCTATTCAGTTCCAGGGTTCTTCTGCCATGGCTTATGGCTGTTTCATTTTTCTGTTCTTGAATTCCCAATCCCTGGAGTCCATTCTATTGCTTGGGAAACTGACCACTGTCTCCAGTAATGCTCTCTAGGTACTCAATTTTCCCTTTTTTTATCTATGTCCTTCTTTACTTATCCTTTCATCATCTTCCATCTGAATCCCTACACCATGATCCTGATAGTTTTTCTGAGGATTTATGGTCAGTCCTTTTTAACACCTTGGCCAGGATTTCATCTTCTGTCCTGTCCCTGCTTATTTAATTCCTCTGATTTTGGGACTTCCTTCAACATGATTATCTTCTCTCTACTATACATCATCACCATTCTTATCTCTGTGACCTCCATCTGGCTTCTTTTCTTTGCTCTGAAGTCTTTGGGGGTGTTCCTAATGCTCTGGAGACTTAGGCCGAGGCTGCCTGACAACATCCTCCCTTTCCTCCTTTGTTTTTGTCTCTCACAGCCTCATGTGTCCATTCTTGTCTTTCGACCCCATTAACCCTACACCTTGCTCTATTTCCTGTTTTTTGTCCTTCTAGCACTTCTTGCTATCCCCTCTCCCATTGGGTTGGCCATTGCACCTCACTCCGTTTGTGCCCAGTTGCCTCGGGCTCTGTTGGGGCATATTTGTTTCTGTTCAAAGGCCTTTCGTCCTATTTTGTGGCTGACTAATTGGTCATTCAGGTTCTTACACATGGCCTTTCTCTTCATTTCTCATTCCTTCCTCCTCTGTCCTCCTTTCTTGTTTTTATTCCTCCTTCTTCCGATCCTCAACATCTTCTGCATCTCAAGGCCATGGTATTGGATCTTTTGGACATGAAAGGGTTTTTTGCTTCTCTCCATGGTATTATTCTTATATTTTGGCAACTCCCCCTCTTCTTGTCCCCAGTACTTCACTAAGCAGCTCTGGCTGTGAATGCCCTCAGCCATAACTGTTCTTATTTCTTTCTGTATGTGTACCCTCCTGTTTGTCTTCTCTCATGTGTCTTTATATCAATTTGTGACACATTGTGTTAAGTTCTGTTGGTAGCTCCTCTTTGACTGGCTCAGTATTAGTTTCATCATCCTCATTGACTAGTATGCAGGGCATCATTTCCTCTGCCTCCATCTCAGACATTTTGCTCTAACGAAAATGGTGAGTTTTTCACCTCTGATCCATCCACCTAAATCCACATTGAGTCAGGAGTAACAGAAAGCATTAAACCTATCCACCCTAGCTCCTAATCTACCTATTGTTAAGATGGAGTTTTCCACAAGACCACTATAGTGGTACATTTATATGTTTCATTTTCCATTCCAGGCTGTACCTTCCATGGACTATGATGGAAAAAGTCAGCACTTAGAAAGTGTTGGCCCACATCACATTAGATTTTTCAGTAACCTATTGCACTTTGTCCAGTAAAAGACCTTTGTGGTGGTTTGGTCTCACCAGGTCCAGACACTTCTCTGGTGTCTCCCCAGTCATTGAGTGGAGCATGGGAGACCCTTGTACCACCAGTTCCTAGCTGCTAGGATGGTTGACTTGGAGAGCTCCTCAATGGTCGTGCAACTGCTAAGGAGAGAGTTTGAGTGGGCAGCACAATGCAGTTGGGAGCAGGGCAATTGTGTCTCTGTCATTATGGTGTAGGTCACCCTCCCTTTTATATAATATGCCAATTTCCCAATGGATGAGGCAAATTGTTCTTCTCATGCAACAGGAAGAGACTTAATTCCCCATTCCTGTACGTCAGGTGAGTAAATTTGTACAACAGAACACATACCAAAATGTATGGTCCAATCATATCCCTAGTCATACTACACCTCATGTCTAACCAACCTGTTCTATGCAAATGCTTTTTTCACCCATCCCTGCAACACATTGACTTGTTTTACCTTCCGTCTTTCATACTTCCACCTGAGAAAAAAGTATATCCTCCTTGAGATGGTTGCAGTCTCCCACAAGTGTAGCCCCTATAGTAAGCCCCCACTATAGGGTTTCACACACTATAAGCTTTCCTCTTCAGTCTCTTTCTCTGAAAGAAACTCATCTACGTTTTTTTGCAGTTGAATTGGCCCTTCCACCACATCAATGGGACTCTAGCTACTGTATGCAGAAAGTTAAGACTATCATTTCAGACTTTAACATTTTTTTTCTACCTGAAAATGTATTTCTGATAGATACCTTCTCACCCTTCTTCTCCACTAACGGTGTTAATGATGGAGGTAATTTTGAGTGCAAGTGTTTATGGGAATCTACTATTCATGGAGGATGTGTTGGTTCCTGTTAATGAAGGGCTGTGGTTGCATGATTCATGTTATAACATGTCTTACATTGCAATACCAGTGGCATGTGTAAAATATCAAAGGGAGTGCACAAGGAATAGCTACTTAGAATTTTACTGTAGGAAATGTTGGTCAGCTTTCAAACAAATGTGTTACAAATTCAATGGTAGGAAATGATGGTCAGCTTTCAAACAAATGTGTTACAAATTCAATGGTAGGAAACTTATGGTTCATGGCAACCTTCCACTACTTCACGTTAGATAGACTATATGGTTCATGGCAACGTTCCACTACTTCACATTAGATAGACTATATGGTTCATGGCAACCTTCCACTACTTCCCATTAGATAGACTATATGATTCATGACAAAATTCCACTACTTCACAGTAGGTAGACTATATGGTTCATGGCAAAATTCCACTAATTCACATTAGGTAGACTATATGGTTCATGGCAACCTTCCACTACTTCACGTTAGATATACTATATGGTTCATGGCAACCTTCCACTACTTCACGTTAGATAGACTATATGGTTCATGGCAACCTTCCACTACTTCACATTAGGTAGACTATATGGTTCATGCAGCTTCGTGTGAAAGTTAGGTTCCTTAAGTACTAGTTATTAGCTTACTTTCACAGTAGATTTTAGTAAGTTTTAGCTTGATGGTTTTCTAAACTATTAATTCTAGTGCAGCCTCCTGTGAAAGTTAGGTTCGTTAACAAGTACTAGTTGTCTAAATCGATTACATCACTTCTTTACCCTGAGCATTATAAGAGATGACAAAAATGCAGTTATTTCTTATGATGAAGTATGTGGACCTTACCAGCATTGAATAGTATAAAAACAATTTGATAATTTGAGGGTGAAAAAAATAACTTTTTAAAATGATACCTTTTTTTTCCTATAGACATTTGATGTATCTGACATCATGGCACAACGGCTGCATGCTGTTCGCAAGCTTCAAGAAAATCCTGATGACACAGTAGCTTTAAAGATGATGTCTCGGGCTCAACTCCAGGTACTTCTTCTATTTTGTGATATGCAATGAAGTATTTGAACGCTTATACAGTATTTGATCTTTTCTATTAGACTTTAGTTTTGAATAACTACTCTTGGTTTTTAAGCCTTTAATTGTTCCGTTACGCCACTTCCAACATTCTATTTGCTCCCCTGACAAAAAGTTATTATTATTTTTGTTTTGTAACTCATCTTGTTTTGAACTTTGTTGGTGTCAGTCTCTAACAAGTTACATTCTGATCAGCTCCTCCTGCTACAGTGATAATTTTAATCAAACTTTGTTGATTTCTGTTTCTGACAAATTACGTTCTGATCAGCTCCTCCAGCTACAGTGATAATTTTTTTGTTGCTGGTTTTCAACTGGCAAAGTATGCTTTGATTTTTCATTCTTAATATTACGTTATCAAGAAAATGTCGTGTTTTGGAACACGTTCATTAACCACCCCTCAAAAAATGTATAATAGTTAAACGAACTGCCTAAGCATCATATTAGTGTAGCCTATATAATGTATAAAGTTTAGTATACTCTAATCCCTTATAGTGATGGCACACAATGAGACACACATTTGGCATGTAATGCTGTTTGAATACAAGAAGGAAAACAATGCCTCTGTAGCCACAAAGAATATCAAAGAAGTTTATTGAAATGTTTTGAATGTTCGTAAGTGTCAATAATGGTTCAGCAAATTTTGTTCAGGTGACTTTGCCTTAAAAACTATGATGGCAGGGGCCGAAATGTTGGAATTGATATTGATGCTCTGAAGACACTTGTTGAGTCTAACCCAAGGCAACATACTCGGGAAATGGTCCTGAAATTGCATGTCTCTCGTGAAACAATACATAAACATTTAAGGAATATGGGAAAACTCCATAAAGAAAGTGTTGGGGTGCCTTACGAACTCTCTGATGATCATCGTTTCCAACATGTGAACGTTGCTTGTGTTTTTTGGTGCATGATGAAAAATGGATTCTCTATGCAAATATTAAATGCCAAAAACAATGACTCAGTCCTAGACAAAAAAACTTCTGACCCCAAAACCTGGACTCTATCCGCAGAAAGTGTGATGCTTTGTATTTGGTGGGACATCAAGGGAGTAATTCAATTTGAACTCCTCAATCCACAGCAAACTGTCAACGTAGAGATCTATATTCAGCAACTGGAATATTTAAATCAAGCCCTTCACTGCTCAGTCAGAAAGGTATTCTTCTTCTCCATGACAATGCACATTTGTTCACATGTGGCACGTTTGATGCAACACAAGATTATAGAGTTAGGTTTGGAAGTTCTCCCCCACCCACCATATTCTCCAGATATGGCACCATCAGATCACTATCTTTTTTATTCACTACAACACCATCTTAATAGGAAAACATATGCAAAGATGGAAGGTGTTAAAGAGGACATCGACATGTATTTTGCTTCAAAGCCAAGTGATTTCTTTAATCAGGGCAGTAACAACCCGATTGTAAGATGGAAAAGCATCATGGATATGAATGGAGACTATTTCACTTAATAAATGTTTTGATATATAAGTTGTTCGGATTTTTTTCATCTAAAAAAAAGCATCATTAATTTCTTGACAACCTAATAATCATAAAAAGCTTAATTTGTTATACTGTTATAGTGTCATGTATTTTAGTTAACAGTCAAAGAGAGCTAATAATTTTGATTTTTTGTTCCAAAGTGAATCCAATACTTGCAATCTTTCCAGCTGAAAATAAAGCAAAAACCATTTAGTTATTTTCATGTTTTGAAGATAAATCTTGCAGAAATTATGAAAATTTCTTCATTAAATAAAGTACGTAATTTTCATAGTTACAAAATCTCACACTTTGTGTCGATGGATGGTTATGTATGCTTAATTGTGATTTATGTGTGAAATCCTTTTCGTATTATAAAATTTCTAATGGTTCTGAGATTTTTAATGATAGGTATCAAGTTTTGACAGAAAAAAATGCTGGAAACAAAGATGCCCCTTCAGTAAGGATCAAAGCACGATTCCAAACAATAGACATTCTACCACTTTCCTTATATAATGAGTTTTTACAGGTAAAAAGAAATTTGCACTAAACTTATTATACTTTCATAAATATTTATACAAATAATTTTAGTTTGGGGAATGTGTTTAATTCTTTACCATTATGAAGCTTAAATAATAATCCAATAATAGATGCTTGATATTTAAAATATTTGTACTATGATCAAATATAAAATATTACTTTTAAAATAAGCATTCACTTTTTTTTGTATTTCTGGACCTTGAATTCAAGAGGAATCTGCACCTATTTATCCATAATTGTGTATTAATGTCTTATGATTCTAATATTGAACACTTAAGAAACATCTTGACAATTAATTATCTTAATAGTATGGTGTGTGCCTTTTGAAACTGTAAAAAGTATTAAGAATTTTATTAAGATTATATTAATTTTCTTAATGTTTGTTACAGTATCAATTTCATGTAATTTACTTCATTTAATTTCTGCCTATAGTACCTGAAACTGGAGTACAAGTTTCTTTGTGAAATTTTAGAGCCTGTTATTAGTGTTCGTGCAAAGGTAAGATAATGTTGATTTCAGTAGTTTTTCATTCTCTTCATTACAGACTACAAAGTTCATGTATTCATAAGTACAGTCAATAACAGATTTTCTTAAGTTATAAAAATAATTAGTTTTTTCTTCTTTTGTGACAAAGCTAGAAATATTTTGTCAGGAGTTCTGCATACAATGTCTCATGAGAAAAGTAATGAATTATAAAATGCCTAATGACATTTAAATACGTTTGTTATTATAGGAGGAAATAGCCACCACATTAGTCCACGTCATGCAGAGAGAAAATATGGTCAAAGATTTTCTTGCAGATGTTGTAATGGATGATATTGAAAAGATTGGTACAAACATACATTTCCATCTATTATATATTACTAATGAAAATTAAATTCTTAAGTATTTGAGCTGTGCTAGTTTATTTTTGTCGAAACATCAATTTCAATACTTAAAGTATTAATTTTATCCACACATTTTTGTTTTACTTTTAAGAAATGTTGACTAGCATATAGATAATTAAATAAAATGAATTAAAAACAGAACCTGAAGTAAAATAACAAGTTTAAACTACATTAATCTTTAGAACTTTTAATACTTTAGTTAATCATTTATTAATAATTAATTGTACTCAATTTTATAAATTTCAATCAATTAAAATTTTGTACAGCAAAGATAATGACAAATTTTAATATTTGTGGAGATTTGTCAGTTTATTTTCTGTAAGTTCAGCTTGTAAAATTTTGCCTGTATATGTTCTAGGCTAAAATACTTTATAAATTTACAATTCCCTTTTACTTTGTGAGTCTTTTCTAAGATTTGAAGTTTCTGCCATTAAAAATGTTAGTAAATCTGTGGCAAGATTTATTTTTACCTGTTTTCAACTCTAATTTTATAAAAATTAGATGACCAACACTTGACTTTCCGAGGAAACTCCCTTGCCACAAAGGCTACAGAAGCCTACATGAAACTCCTAGGAGATAAGGTACACATTACTTTTGTTGTAAAACTATTAATAATTTTAATTAATAACAAGGTCTCTTGGTAGTAGAATCACTCAAAAGGCTAACAAATCAAGCATGAAAAAAAGAAAGAAAGTTAAGTTGGTTTAAATCTTCCAAGTTATAAAAGTAATTTGCGTGATTGCTATATTTCTTACTTTTCATATTTTATGTTTGCTAGATATTGGACTGAGCATGGTTTAGTGGTTTGGGTGCCTAATTGCAGATTGGAAGATTCTGGGTTTTAGCAGTCATATGTTGCTAACCACACCCTGCATTTTCAGCATTAGATAGCCTCCAAATGGCTCAGCAGTACGTCTGAAGGCTTACAGTAGTTTTTGATGCATGTAGTGGGCATAACACAGATATCCCATTGTGCTCAACAACAAACAAACAAAAGATTCAGGGCATTATAACTGAGACAGTCAGTTCTGCTGTTTGGTTAAGAATAGCCACATTGGTGGCAGTGCTGTTAATTAGTTGCCCTCCCTCTAGTCAGCAGTTCTGACTTGGCCATTTAGTTTTATATAAAGTTAAAAATAACAAATACTAGCTAGATATTAGTTAACTTCAAGTTTTGTTTAGCCTTATAGGAAATGATGTTGAAACAGCTGAATAAATTTTTAAAGATATTAAGCAATTTTTGAAGGGTATGATTGAGAAAGTTAATTGCACATTTTATGCTTCATTAATTCTTGAACATCAATGTTCAGAGGAACCTAGGTTACAGACTGAAATATCAGTATAATCTTTTTGTTTCAGTATCTACAAGATACACTGGGAGAGTTTGTTCGAACAATTCTAGAAGGCTCAGATGACTGTGAGGTAAGAATAGTTCCTTGTTCTTATAATACAGCCTTCTTAGTTAGTTTAGGCTTTTTTTGTATATAATAAAAGGTGGCTAGCTAATTTTGTTTTCTAACCTTTATTGTTTAATTTGTTTTTGTTAATAAGTGTTTGTAACCTTTGATATACCATATATTCAAGGCTCTGTTTATGTTGTCCATAAAATAAAGTACTTATTTATATCTTGCTTCACTATTTCATAAGGTGGATCCCAGTAAGGTATCCAATAATGCAGTTCTCCAACGGCACCAGTCTAACCTTTTAACTTATGTAGAGATGGCATGGGTGAAAATTATCAATTCTGCACACAACCTCCCATAGTAAGTTTTCATAGGTTTTACATTGTTACTATTTTTATATAATTTATATGGGAAATAGCACTCCATCTTGTGAGGATTTTCATATTACTATATGTGGTTCAAAAGCATCTTGTTGATATTTTATATTGTTTTTATCCAAAAAACTGTTATTATTAATATTTATAGCCTACATAAGTTAAAATTGATTATTATTATTATTTCCTATAATTATAAAACTGAAAGTAACTGTGAATTAAATCATTCTTATTTTCTTTTAAAAGCTGTTACTTTCTTTATTGCTCTAATGTACAAATCTCAATTATACAATATGGTATATTGGCTATACCAATACTGGGTACTTTCTCTTCATAGTGAACTAAGACAAGTATTTTGTGAGTATCGAGAAAGATTAGCAGCCATGGGAAGAGAAGATGTTAGTGACAATCTGATCAGTGCATCAGTTTTTCTAAGGTTTCTATGTCCAGCAATTTTGTCACCAAGTCTTTTTAATCTGACCCAAGGTACCAAAAGTTATATACAATCACTACAGTTTTTTGAAATCATATAACTTAGACAGATATATGAGATGCATATATTTATAGAAGTATCTTGTTACCATTATTTCTAAAGATCTTTTTAGCCAACTTCTTATGCTGTTTGTCTTGTAGAAAAACTGTAATTTATTTGTACTTTATATCTTGTGTTTTGATGATCTATTGCACACATTACTAATTAATTTAATCAGTGCCCCCTCTGGTGGGACAGTGGTAAATTTACAGACTTACAATATAATTTGGGGTTCAACTCCCTGTAGTGGACACAGCAGATAGCTCAATGTGGCTTTGCTCTAAAACAAACAAATAGTCCTCACCCCATAAACAAGCACTGTTCATCAAATTGCATGAATTCAACTTAGAGACAATGTGTTTAAAAAATCTTTGAATTGCTATGTTAAAGGTAAATAGTTTAAACAAGTTCAATCATTAATAAAATGAACTATATGTGAAGATTAAAAAGTAATTAAGATACATTTTTAGATAACTAATAAGCTAAATTTTTTCAAATTATATTACCTTTTTTAGAATTCATTATTACATATTTCTATTAACTATTTCTAAAATTGACTTTTGAAATGGGGATTTCATTTTCAGAATACCCACAAGATAAAGCAGCCCGAAACTTGACCCTCATCACCAAAACTATTCAAACATTAGCAAACTTTACCAAGTAAGCAGGCATTATTTTCCCTTTAAAATTCTAATAATAATTTAAAAGAAACCCAAAGAAGAATTATGAAAATATAATCTTATCATGTGATTAAGATTAGGTTAATATTTTTTACTTATTATAAGAACTGTTTTTTTTTCCCAGAATAACATTCTAATAATTTAAGATATTATTGTTAGTTTAAAATATGCACATAGATTTGTACTTTAAACAGTAAAAGGAATGAATACTCCACGTTTAAGTAAATAAAAAAAAATGTGTTTTAACATAAAGTTTTGTCTGACAGCTAATTTTTTTTTTTCATATTAGGTTTGGTGGTAAAGAAAATTTTATGGAATTCATGAATGAGTTTGTGGAGAAGGAATGGAGTACTATGAAAACCTTTCTTTGGCAAATTTCTGTAAGCTAATATAAGCACCAGTGTTACCAGATTTATGTACTTTTAAACTTATTAAACATATGTTATTATACATGGATGTAAAATAATTTATAAATATTGCTGTGATTATTTCTCCACCATCCTAAAAAAGATATATATATTTTTAATATTCTAAAACTAACCAAATTCTCACATCATCTTTAAGATATGCAGATAATTTATAAATGTTATTATTTAAACCCATATTATATCTCATGTTTTTAAAAAACAATTCTATCAAATAATTAAAAATTATGCATTTATATATATTTATCTTTAGTGTATATGGCATTTTTGATCTCTCTCTCTTTTTTTTTTTAGAGTCATTTGTCTAAGGATCACCATTCTCAGTTAGAGTTTGATGGCTATATAGACTTAGGAAGAGAGCTGTCTGTCCTTCACTCCCTACTTACAGACTGTCTTTCTAGAATTAACAAAAAGGTAAAGAATTGTTTATGGACTAGCTGTGGCATACAGTAACACTTCTTCATGAAATAAGAATTAGGGCATGGATCTTAAGTGTTAATTATTCCAAAACAGTTATAATGTCTTATTTCAATTTACATGTAAAATTAGTAGATATATAGTCAAAAGTAGCTGCTCATCTTTTGAGATCTTTAGATTGTATCTGTCTTTATTTTTCAATAATACATTAGAAAGATAAAATGAGCATTCTCACTAAATATGGTGTTTGATCTAATTTATTTGCTGTGAAGAATACTAATGCTATGTTTTTTCTAAGCGACACATATTATCAGCATTTCAACGATTTTCAGATCCTCAATCATAACCTTTTTTTTTTAGCTTTATGTTTTAGCTAAAGACTTTTTTCTTTTTCAGTGTCATTACGAACAAGTTGAGGCTTTAGAGCGCATCTTGGATGGAGTTTCAGCTGCAACAACCCAACCAACCTATTTCCGACAGGTCAGTGCCCCTCCTCCAAGTGAAAAAGCCAAAGAACAGCTAGCAACAGCTTGTCAGGACACTGAAAAACCCAATTACCAAAGTCTACAACTCACAAAAATGTCTTCTTCCAACAGTAAAAAGAGTGGAGAACTATCAAGTCAGATACCAGTAAATGGCTGTATTTCCACATCAACATCACATCAGTCGGTTAATACAGAAAATTCTTCACCAAAATCACCACATAAGTCATCTACTCTGCCCAGGTATTTTACACCCTTCTGTGTGACATTCTTTCTCTTACCACTTGATATGTATTCACAACTAATCAGTCTGTTGTATATGCGTATGTTCCCCTTTCATCTTTTTACCTACTAATTTAATGTTTTTATGCTCTGTTTACACAAATGATAGTAACCTTTGTAGATGTAAGTTTTCAGTATTGTACCCACATAAAATGTCAGCCACATATTGAAATAACTTAATATAGTCTTGTAGTATAGCATGTCACAAACTAAACAAAGATGTGTTAAAGTACATGTTATGAATGTAACAAATAGTGTCACTATATAATAAACTATGCTGTGAAAGTTTACTTAGTAGTTCTTATTCTTGTTATTACTACACCACATGATAGCCACTGAAAAATATTTAAAAATACAAGCTTACACAGATATGTAGCACAATTTTTAGTGAGAACAGAACAGTAATGATACTAACAAAGTTGCATTTAATGTTTTCAGAAATACTTTTCTGCCAGGACCCAGTAAAAAAGCAGCACGAGACTTATCAACAGCTGATGATTATGTTTTATTCAGTGCATTAGAAAATGACCTAAAGTCTGACCAGGTCCAGTTTTCATCTACCAAAGAGAAATCAACATATGGTAGTAGAGGAACACACTGCAGCACATACTGTCGACCAAATACTGTCCTTCCACTTAAACTCACGCAGTCAGTGTACAGTGAAGCCTCAGTCAGTGAAGCTTATCCATCAGAGTCTATTTGTGTGGGTAAAGGAATTCAATGTGCAGATAACAATACTCCTTGTCCTATCATTCACCCAAATCAAGATTCAACTTACTGTTTGTCAGAGCTAAGAAAAGAAGCGGAGGGACTGACTGAAAGATTTAGTCGACCCAACAGAAAAGATTATCCAGATATCATAACATTAGCTCCAGATGATGATCCTTCAAATTCTTCTGGAGAACTGGATTATCACAACATTCAGGGAAGTCAGATGTCCATTAGTCAGGTAAGATAAGATTTCATATAAATTTAGATTTTCTGAGTACAGACATTTCTTATGGAGAAAAGTGGGCAAAAACTGTGGAAAACATAGCTTCTTTGTTGTTATTTTACTTGTAAAGGAAGAGCTGGCTATGACTGTAGTATGTGTTCTCAGCTTAAAGCAGTCAAGAAATCAGAGTTGATTTGTAGCCATTTACTGGCTATTTATACTTAGCTACATAACAAAAAGGTTGGAATTTTTATTATTAATGTCTGTTAGATCTTTTATCAAACTATTGTCTTTAGTATAATTAAAGACAAATAAAATACAAGTTAATGTCATTTTATAGTTTTCAGAACAGTGTTTCAGTTTATAATGGATAACCTGGAGACAGAACAGGTATTTCACTTTATTGAAAAACTAAAACTCCAAATGAAAAATGTTAAGTGTGTTCTGCAGGTTTTCCAAAAATAGTGACTATTTTTCAACTTTCACTTCTGGTATGGTGATTGAATAAGTTGGTATTTTACAAGTAACCCACCTTATATTAAATAAATGTTTCTATCTATATATTATATGGTGAAGTATGGTAGATTTACAAGGTAACAAGGTATAGTTATTTTAAAACTATGTAAGTTACTACTTACAGTAAGAAAACAATGAAATTTAATTATGGTCCTTGAATAGAGGATCCAAGTTTATTATTATAATGTAAATATTGCAGTCAGTACTGTTCCACCTTCCAGCTAAATAAATTTTTCAACTATTTTCAACTCAACCTGGTATTTTAAATATTGGATTACTGATAGCCAAATTTTTCTCATAAAGGCTTTTCCCAGTTCTTAAAAGAAAAAGCTGTACATACTTAATAAAAAAAAATTGTAATTTTAAAGTTACAGAAATCCTACACATAAGTCTATTTTTTTAAAAAAAAAAACTTGTAATAAAACTTTTTTTTTAATGTTAGACCTTAGAAACTGTTTTTTGTAAATCTAAAATTCAGATTACTTCAATCACAAATCTGACAGGTGCATTTGTCTGATAGAAAAGAAGATAAATATTTTGTGACTGATGGTTTCATAGATGCTGCAGTAATTGAGCAGGAAGCCATTTTTGTTCATTTTGTGAATAATGGTACACCAGTCACCAAATTAGCACAGTTCATCGCTTTTATCTATTATTCATCTATTAGTCATGATGTGTATGCAGGCATAAAAATTGCCCTTTCTTCCATTGTAATAAGTCTCGATATTATGTCTCAAAAAACAGATTGGCCAGAATCTTGTTGGGCAGTGCTTGATTTAGGCATAAGCTAAACAAGCTAAAGCTTAGGGCCTCACAAGATTTTAGATTTGTTTTTAAACTGAAGCACTTCCATGCTTATGTCAAGCAGAATTATCCAGAAAAGAACAAATTTGTCACAAAGATCTGTATCAAATCATCTTCCAAGACAAGATTAATTTAGTTTTCCCTAATGTGGAAGCAATATTACAACTATTCTTATGTCTGATGGTAACAAATTGTTTAGGAGAAAGGTCATTTTCACAGCTAAAGAAAATCAAAAATGAACTGAGAGCAACCATGTCTCAAGACAAACTGTCTGCACTTAGCATCATGTGCATAAAAAGCGATAAGCTGCGTAGCATATCATTTGAGGACATAATTCATGATTTTGCTTTTAGGAAATCAAGAAAGAAAATGTTTTAAGTTGTATCTGATATCACTTTTCTGATCTTGAAAACAAGTTCATTATTATTTATATTAACCCCTTGACGCACGTGGGTGTTACCTAAGCTGAATAAAATCTTCTAGCATTAGCCAGAATAAAATACTTAAAGGGTTATTGAAAGTGATCCTGATTACTTATTTTGTCAGCATTTTGTATATATATATTAATGTATCTTAAAATTTTTTAAAAAATTACATATAAGTATTGTTTCCAGTGTGTACTATATAATAATCTATGAAAGAGATCAAGTCAGCCAAATGATAAATATCTAATCAGTAAATGCATTAATTTGAAAATAATTTGTATTTTTCACTTTTAATACCTTGCTATTAAATAATTAAAAGGCACATATATGTTTTTAATTTTTGTGTAGCAACCCAAGGTCCTGTTTTGGTACGCACCTTTGTGAGAACTTCTGGTGTAACTTTTTAACCAGGGGCCTCCAAGCTTTATATAGCACTGTTGTTGGGGCAAATGTTAACATGGGCCACAAGTCAGGAGTGCAGGTCTTAGCATTTGATGATGTCCCCAAGTACACTTATTATCTACTGCATGAATCTCAATCTGAAGCTTGCTATTTTAGATATGAAAAACAGATACACCTTACCTGGAGAGATTCGATGACACCCCGAAACTTCTATTCACATTCTAATACTTCTCACCAAAACATAGAAGAAAACTGTATAATATTGCTGTGATAAATTGGAACACTATGGAGGCATACAACAAATCTGATGGCTTGCTAGTCAAGAATGTATTTTAAGAGCCCTTTCTTAGAATTTCAAAGTAACTATTGTGTACTTGGATGATATTGCTGATACTGGCAATTTAAAAGACAGTGCTTAAGCCAAGGTAATACTGGGATATGTTCAAACAACAAATTTTTCCCAATTTATGTGCTTTATGATGGATTATAGTGCTGCTCTCAGTACCATGTGACAATCATTTCAAGCTGAATACATGCTTGTCACTGAAGTGATCCCAAGGTTGACAACTCTTAAGCTGATATGCCTCAAATCCACCACCAGGTACAAGTCTGGAGACTCCCTTGAAGAAGCACGAGGATGGGGATTTCTAAGACTTAAAACTCAAAATTAAATTGGATGGAAGGAAATGTGAACCACTGTATACTGAAATGATTGATGAAGCTATGGTTCATATTCATATGACATTTGGGAAACTACAGAGTTCATCACTCAGTAAATCTGCTGAAGTTTGAACAAGACAAAAAAATTAAATGTACAAGTAATAAGGAAAACTTTAAAGAATAACTTTTTTATGTATCATTTTGTTTATTCTGCTATAGCTGTCTACCATGGCATCGTCTGGCTACCAATCCATAGCCTACAGCCAGTCCAGCTCGCCTGTGGATCTGCTTCATCTGGAAACACATGCTTGCCATCAGGTAGCACCACCTCTAGCTTTCAACAATCCTATGTATCACTTTCGTAAAAGTGGCAGCCCACGACATGACAACACCAAACCCATTCAGCCCATCAGAGATAGAGAATCTGTGAGCAGTTCCCTAAGTAGCAACCACAGTGTTGAAGATCTGTCAATTGTTGGCAGACCATGCTTAGGTATGTTATAAATGAGTAGTTTTTATGTCTGCAGCAATATATACCTATAACATACCTAAGCCAAAAACAGCTTGCTGTAACAAAGAAAAAGTGCAGTCAAGAAAACATTTGTTATACAAACAGCAACTAAAAGAATTTATATCAGTTTGTTTGTTTGTAATTAAGCACAAAGCTACACAATGGGCTATCTGTGCTCTGCCCACCACGGGTATCAAAACCCGGATTCTAGCATTGTAAGTCTGCAGACATACCACTGTGCCACTGGGAGGGCATTTATATCAGAATGTGGCCAAAGCAATCAATATTATTAGATAGTGGATACACAGTTTAAAATTGTCTGCTAAAAAAGTAAACTCTAAAGTTGGTTTAAAATTATTTTGTCATCATGTTTATCTGTTTTATTAACAATAGCACAAGTATGATTATGTGTATGTTAGTCTTGACAAAAAAAAGCAGCCAAATAACAAGTAACTCATACTTGACAAACATGATGATAAAATAATTCTAGACCAAGTATACAGTTTACCTTTATTAGCAGGCAATTTTAAACTATGTATCCACTATCCAATAATATTGATTGCCTTGGCCATATTCTGATATCAGTTCTTTTAATCACTGTTTGTATAACAAATAACATTTTCCTTGACTATGCTTTTTTTTTATGGCCAAGCTGTTTTTGGGTTAGATATCATATCTTTTTTTTTTAATAAATACATATACCTTTGTTATACATGTATTTAATGACAAAAAATCCTTGATAATGTTAGCACTAGGCTCACACAACAAGTTAATAGCACACTTCAATGGTGAGTAACAGTCAAAGCTTAGACAATTCTGGCCAAAGCCTGCCAGTCAGCCAAAACCACTTAAAAGCTTATATATTAGAGGTACATGTGAATAAACTGTGGACAGTAAACACACACTCCTCACATAGTGAATAGTAAATAATACTGGAATACTAGCAAATCATATGGTTATATAGCTAGCACGAGCCTCAGTGTGCATGAGTATATAGGCTTAAGTGTAGGGAAAATAAAATTATGAATTAAACTTGCAAACAAATCTGTTAGCTTGGATAAAGAAGTAATGGCTGTCAACAAACAATTAAAACTCGTGAGTCTTGTGTGTTTACACTGGAAATCAGTCTAAATTCCACCCATTGGCACAGGCGATTTAAAATTTTAAGAGTACTTTACAAGAACACTACTCGTCAGAATTGCACAAAATTTTGCACAAAAACAAAAGTAATAGTATTGTTTATCTCTGTAAAGTTTAAAGGAAATTTAAAATCTAGATTTTGTTTTTGATAAAACCAGCCTTGTAGGCCATAAAACTTAATTATTTACCATCATGCTGAAATTAATGTGTAATTTTATTTTATTTTTAGGAAATGCAGAGTCAGCACCAGTGGTCTCCATGGTTTTATCTCACTGTTATCCCCCTTCTTCTTCCTCAGAAGGAGATAGCTGTGAGTCCAGCCCTCCAAGAGATCGTCACGCACCTTTCAAATCAAGTGCTCCACGTACAAATCCCCGATATCCCAGCTTACACAAGGTTGCATCATCAAAAGTGGCATCTCATTATTGTAACACTTGTCCACGGGAGACTGGTCTTCGCAGGCATAAGGGTGAATGTCGAATATCCATTGATGTTGCCAAAATAAATGGGAGAAAAGTGTGAGTAAAGAACTTCCATCTACAATAGAAACAAAGATTATCTAATATAGTCTTCAACTTTAAGAGTATAAACTAATAACAAATACCTAAACTTGATATGCAAAATTATTAGAATTGTTATTCCTGGTGAGATTATACTGTGTGCAATTTCTTTGACTGACTTAGGAACACTTATATATAAAGGTTGTTCCTGTAGATGTTATCTTCTGTTTAAAGTTATTCGTTCTCATTAAAAAGAACTTTGGTACAGTGTCTTTACATGTTAATTATAGAAATGTTTTTTAACTTTTCAATTGAAATTTTAATTGTTACGTATAGCAATTTAATCTCAGAAAAAAATCGATATTTTGTTGAAGAATGGTTAAGTCGTGTAATTATCAGGTGTTTGCAGAAGTTACAGATATTGCTAAAGAATTTACTAATTATGATGTTAATCAAAGGCTAGAAACTTGGTTGTCTCTTTTCATAAAAAACAACAAGATAATTTGTTTATTCTAATTCTAAATACATCACTTAATACATATTACATCTCATATCACAAATAACATGACCATCATGAATGTTACCATTTATAATAGCAAATTATTAAATGGCCACACAAAAAAGGAAGTGGATCTTGCTCTTTTAACTGTTTTGTCCTAAATTAAAACAAGTATACAGGTTGAATATAGATTAATGTTTTTAATGAATCTTAAGACACAACTTAAAAGAAGAAAAAACCACGAACCTCAAAGGACTGTGTCATTATTGCAAAAAACTTAGGTGTCTGTGTGTATTTGTTTTCTAAGATTTTAAAATTGGGTAATTACCTAAGACTTCTAAAAACAAAAATTAGTCACTTTGTGATTTTAATTTTTCCTGAACACTTAGAATTTAACTATTTATATGTTAAGTTTTTTTGTGTATTTTCTGTAACTTACAAAAAAAAGTACAGTTAACTAATCTTAATTTTTTAAACATTAATACACAGATGCTTTTAATTATTCATCTCATTTCTCAACAGAGAAGATTTGTGGGATAGTGATTCCCAAGATTCTGCCTCTGAGCTTCAGGGAGCATTGTCCAAAAAACAATCACCTCAGAGGGGAAAAGCTCTTCACAGAAAAAATTGTAAAGTAAAGAAAACCATTGAAGAGGTATGTGCAGTAAAATCATGAGTTAGGATTCACGATTGTTCATAGTACACTTTTAACTAAATCAGTCATAACCTACAAAATTTTTATTCTTAACATGTGCATTCTGTTTTTGTTAAAAATGCATTTAAATAAGAACTTGAATAATCTCTATGTTATCTGTTGTTTATCTCTAAGCCTCAGATTGTAAATGTAGCATATGTTTGCCACTTAAGTCCAAAATAATAGCACAAAATATTTTCAACCTCATCTGAGAACTTTTATATGGGAGTTTTTATGTGATAAACTTGCTCTAACATGCATCTGTTCCTTCTACTTTAATGTCATGCTGAAATTCTTTTGCATTATGTATACAGAGCATAAACTTTCAGTGTCTAAAAATTGTGCTTAAATTAGTATATTCTGAAAGATATGCTTAAGCAAGTTTATATCTCACCCTAATATATCTATTTTGGTCTTTTGTTATCAATATTTACCCCCCATGGCAGTAAACACTAAAAAAGTCTACAAACGAATGATCTGGTAATAAAATTTATTTAACAGTCTTGCATGAGGAGTAGGATTTTTCATAATAATAAGATAAATCTTCAAAGAACTGGCCCAGTTGTGAAAGTAATGGTTTTAGATATTGTCATGATTAATACTGATGAAGGAAAACATACACAATTGTGTCAAACCGTCATTCATGAGGTATTTTCATCTGAACACATTTTCTGTAAAAAAAACTGTGAGCCACTGCTACCAAATAAATCCTTGAAAAAGATTTATCATGTTTCACAATAGACTGTTTGAGATTGAGCAGTAGTAAAAGGATTATTGATATTGCTGAAGGTGTAGCTATATTAGATACATTAGTATAAGCATATTCTGTAGTAGCAATAATACTGGGTCTGAAAACTGCTCTAGTGGAAGCATACTTCCCCCTAAATTTTCTTACAATGCTTGTTGGATTTAAGATTTATTATTCCTATTGTAGAAATATGTGTAACCTCTATGTTTATGTTTAGTGCATAAAAAACATTCTAGTTGACAGAACTTTTAGAACTGTTATACAAACTGTAGAAGGATTCAATAATTTCAAAGGTTCTCCCTCTTTTTTTTTTTAGTATGAACAAGAAATAGAAAATCTAAAACATTTAATGACTGAGCTACACAGTAAACTGAATCAGGCGGAAGAGAAGATGTCTCGACAAGAGTTCACCACAGAGCAAGTTATGGCTGACTGGCAGGCTAAGTTAGAAGCTGGTGAGGAGCGTTTGAAGAAACAGCAAGAAGAAAAAGATCAGCAAATGAAAAGCATCATTACCAGGTAGATATGTGTATTTTCAAAAGGTCTTAAATATTATATCTATCTAAGCTAAAATAATATTCAGAAGTTTTCACATAGTTATTCATTAGACGTTTTTTGAAGTATTTTTAGTCTAAAAAAACTTATAGATGAAATGAGAATGGTTATAAATTGTAAAGAATGGGTGTAAAGAACTTTTATCATTAACTTTTTGATTATACAAAGTCTTCTAGTTTGAAATTCATTAATTTGGACCATGTAAAATCATAACCTACATCATCATTTTGATTCAACACAAACTATTATCAGTTTAGTATTCATAGAAATAATTGCTATTTGTATTACTTAAACTTTCAGATTTAGTGAGATAATAATAATAATTACATTTGGCTCATATGTACTGAAATTTTGTGACTACTAGGTTGATAACTGTAGAAGAGGAGCTGCGACGTGAGCAGCAGGAAATGCAAGAGCTAATTGTAATCAAGCAGAAGGTGATTGAAGCACAAGAGAGAAAAATCCATTCTCTTGATTGTGCCAACATGCGACTGATGAATGCACTGAGCCAGCTGAAGGAACGTTACAAACTTCAGGGACAAAATGGATTGTCAAATTCTTCTCCATTAAAAGTAGCTCTCATGGAAAATGGAGAACTTCCTTACAAGAGTAGTTCCTGCTAGTTTGAATCCAGTTGAATGTCAGTTTACTTAAAGGCTTCCACCTAGATGACTTGTGCCTCCATGATGTGGTGCTAGCAGGTTGTTGCTATTAAATGTATCAGCCAGTGGTGTACTTTGCTTTGGGATTTTAGAAAAAGCTATATTATTTGTCACATTTTCTCACTACTGGTTTTCAAAATAAATTTAATTATATTGTTTCTTCAAAAAACAAATGCAATATTGTATGAATACTTAAGTAGTTGAGTGCTGTTATTTTTATTGTACTTTTAACAGTATTTCTCTTACATTGATGCATATTATTATAATTGTGTACTATATTAAAATTGGTATGTCAAATGAATACCAGAATCTTCTATTATCACCCAACTTTCCTTAAGTTCTTATTAAAACTGTAGATACCTAGATTTTCTGTTTCATAAATTATTGGCAAGAAAAAAAAAGACAATATGTTTCTTGCAACAAATTATTTTCTTTTTTGTTTTCACTCATGCAAACTATTTGGAACGTTTTAACAGTTTCAAAAACTTTAGGATGAATCAGCAATTTATTTTTTCAGTTCTGTGGATGCATTTGATAAATTTATTGTAAATTTGTTTGAATATTTCTTCAGAATTCCAATGATGTTAGATTTGCATGGTGGAGTTTTGTTTTTGTTGAGCCTTCTCTGTAATTCCTGTGAAAACTTTCTGAATTCTCATAATCCTGAAATCATACTAAATTTTCTAAGGCTCTTTCAGTGTGTAAGTGTTGCCTGTTTTGTAGTCTAGTATAGGTCTATTAACTTTCAGTGTGTAAACCTTCATTCATCTTTTGACATCTCATTATCTCTAGGTTGCTGTTAAAATGTAAGATAAGGGTATTATGAGATTACTCTGTATACTTTTATTACATTTGTTACTTCCCAGAAATTGCTAAGTATTTTATTTAGTTAGTCAGATGTTACCAGTGATATTTAATAATTGATTATAATTAAAATACATTTGTATTCTTTGTTGTTCTACCCATCAAATTAAGACACTAAATGCTCTTAATACTCTGAACCAAACACTGACCAAAATCAGTCTGTACTTTATTTGGAAGCAATGAAACTAGTCTACTGTTTTAATTCCAACTAGGTACATCACTGTTTTTTTTCACTGGTTTTATGTTGCTGTGTAGGTGCCCCCCATCCAACCTGCCACAAAAGTGCATTTATTTTATCCAGTAGAAAAAAAACAGAAAATAAATTTACAATATAAATAAAGTTTGTGTTTAGCAGTTTATAGTATTCATAATTTAACAGTGAAATTTTAACAACTTTTCTGGGCATCACTTGAATGTTTTTATGAAACTTGAGTGTTGTTGGAAAATTTAGAGAATATTTTGTTCTTTTTTTTATCTTTTTAATACTTGTCTGTTTCGTTGAAGGGCACACATGTGGAACGTTTAAAAATATTTCTAAGTAGAACATCTGTGTTTGAACTGGTTTAACAGTATATCAGTATATATTTTCAACTTATTGATGCTTGATAATGTTTTATTATCATGTTTTCACATTTTTTCTCATTGTATTGAATTATGCAATTCATCACTTTTGAAGCAACTTGGGTGGGCCACCTTCTGAAAAGTTTTGTTTTATTCACAGCAGGTTGCTGTATGTTAGTGTACATGTATATATGGATTGTGTCAAAAATCATTTTATCCAACAGCTTTGAAAGCTGTCATAGTTTTATCCACACATCCTCTTTTTGGGTATTTCAGTTTATGTGCTCTTGCATCTTGATTGTCATAGGATAATAACTGTATTTGTTATTTCATAAAACCATGTAAGTTCTGTGAAACAAGATATTTTACTTTGTATATTAATGTTTTGCTTTGATGTTCACATAGATTTAGATATTTTTAAGAATGTCTAGAGGCTTTGAAAATGAAGACACAACTATGTGTTTTGTGATATGTGGTTTGTAATATTTTGCTTAAAGATATACAAACTGATGAGGAGAAAAGATGTTAGGTTTTCAAAGTGCTATAGAGTGAGAGTTTACAAGTCATAACGTTTCAATTTTATTTCATTGACCTGTGTAAGTATCAGTTTTTTTCTGTGATTTCAGTATTGTATTTTTGTCATTGCTGAAACCACATCTACATTTCAGGCTCATTACATACAGCCATAGATTTTTGATGAAATCGTCCAAATAAACAAAATAATCATGGAGATATTCTTATTTCTCTACACTTTAAATGGAAGCACTTTCAGGCAAACAAAAAAATTTAATAAACCTCAGAAACATTGTTAGCCCTTGGATATAAGACTTTCCAGATTAAAAAAAAAGAAGTTTACTAAACCATTGTAATACTTTTAATCTTTAACGTTGAAGCTCTTCTCTCGAAATAGGTAAAATAACTACATTAGACTTCAATAATGCTGTTAGTATTTGAATTTACATTAGTTTTGCAGAATTGGAAGTTTCTTAAAAATATTTCAAACTTGGATATCCACTTTTCTCTGAAAAATACTATGTAGTCTCCATAGTAGATCTATGTAAAGCATAAAATTGTGAAAAGGATCTTATTATAGCTTATAGAACTTATGTTTTCTGTTTGGGTAACTTTTTTTTTTCTTGAAGTGAAGTGCATGTGATAATCATTTACATGTAATAAGAAATAGTACATATAAAAATTTCATACTGTATTGGGAATGCAATAATATACATGAAAACTCCAGTTTAAGAAAGAAAGTCTTGTTTTCAAAACAGGTGGTTCATTATAAAGAATGCTTACTTTAAAGTTAATAGTTTATTGTCTATCACGGGGTCATTTTTTATGTTCTAATAATTTTTTTGTAACTTACTGCTTAGTCTTGCCAGTCATCAACAACCGTCTTTAAGTTTAATTATGTTAATTAAGTTGTAGAATTTACTGTCATCTTAAACTTTAAAATGTTGACGTGACTACTGAGAAGGTGTGTTGTTTGAAGTTGATAAATTTTAAGTAGTCTTGTATTAAATTAAATAATGCGATAAACATGACAACAAATGACGCAAAGGAAAAAAATTAAATATATATTTTTTCCCCAAAAGCCCAGGATTAATTGAAAATATTTCTATATAAAGTTTGTACATATACATTTCTATGAGTAAATATGTCACAAATATATAACTGAAATCGGTAAATTTTATGACATAGGTATACCATACACAAAATGTTGCGGGTATTCCATGAACAAAAGTTTGCTCAATTATGTACCTTAAAACAATGAAAGTTAACCATGATGAACTGGAATTTTTAGATGGATATAGATTATTAGATTATTTTTAATGTTGTTGACAGTCCAAATGTTTTTTAAATACATTTTCACTTTACATATAGAAAAACAAAGTTAGGCTTGCTATCTATACGTCTAGGGAATGTCATTTTATATAGAAAGTTGTTAAGCATATTGGACCACAGTTTTCTTTTTCAGAATACTGTATATTAGCTAAGTGTTTCAAATGTAAATTTTATGTCTTTTTTTCGTTCACAAACGTTTCCTACAATTTGGTACTCTAGAAAAGAATATAAAATGACATGCACATTTACCAGAGTAAATATTGTGCTCACATCGTGAGAGGATTTCGCCCCTCAACAGCTGTGTATTTGACCAGGAAACTGAAATTTGTTGTTATATAAGATATTTAGAGTGAAACCAAAGAATGTTTGAGGGGTGGCGTGTCTGCTTATTTGATAATACGTTTCTTTTTTTTTTGTATTTCTTCTTTTAGGAAGTACAATGTTGGTTTAGGTTTTGATTGATAGTATCAAATGTTTGTCGCTTATCGAGGATAATGTGTACTTGGATAAGAGCGAGTGAGGCTACCCTTCCAGATTAAACTAGGCCAGTTATAAGCCTAGCTTGTTCAAATGTGAATTTGTATTTACATTGTATGAACTTATTGGTACATACACATATCTTAATGTGTATAGTACAATACACTGCAGTACACTGTTAAGTTCAATATTATGCAAAATTTATGTTATTTTTCTTTTTTCTAATCTTTCTTTGCGTGCGTTTTGTATATACAGTTGTTGTCATGACTTGTACTTGTGTGTGTGTGTATATATATATATATATCAGCTATCAGTATTTAAATTATAAGAATATTTATTCTATTGAGTATTAGTTTAAGCACAAGATTTTTTATGTGAACACTCCATGTATTTGCACTTGTAAATAAAAGTATTAACAGCTCTTTTAGGATTGAAACTTTTTTATCACTATTTTTAATTCAATTGTATTTTTGCTAGAAACTATCGTCATCCTTTTGCATAGTGTTATCCTTAATTTTATTATCTAGTAACTCATTATAACAGTGGTTCTCAAACTTTTCAGCTCGTGTACCATATTTTGTTTAAACTTTTTTGAAGTGTGAACACAGACCTAAACAAAGCGAAAAAGATCCAGTAGCAAATATTATTATTTTTAATCAATTACCCATTAACGCAAATGATGTGATTTTGTTCTGTGAATAATATTTGATGCGATTTGTGTCAACATGAATGGAGAAAACACTGGCGAATCTAAGCAGGCGGAGGGCGAGCTCTGCCTGCGAGACTAAGAGTGCGTAAGTGGGATGTTCAAATTGGGTTTATTACAAATTTTATAATTTTTACATTAATGTTTTTGTGTGTGTGTACCACTAACAATAATTCCAGGTACCACCAGTGGTACGCGTACCACAGTTTGAGAATCTCTATAATATTTAGGTACAAATGAGGCTGTACTCTTAAGTTCACTAGGTGGGAAGCCAAATTATGTGTTATTACATTATTTACGTTTCTTTATAGTATAATTTAAGGATTAAAAATCATCACCTTTCTATATGTGAGCCATTCTCAGCACAACAAAGTAATTCTATACATAATATTTGAAAAAGGAACTTATAATATGAATATATTAACATCTAGTCTGCGAATTGATGAAATCGAATTCGGGGGATTAGGTGGGCTACAGATAGGATCACGATTTTTGGAATTCGAGTTAGAACCAAATTAAAAAAAAAACTTCAATAAAGGCTCGATCTTTTATCCTCAAAATAAAACCTTGATGTCAAAAGTAAATTGTCTCTCTAATATTCAAAATTCTTGGCGAACAAAAAACCTTCACCAGTTTAAACTAAAACTAGCAAAAGAAACAATATACTTATGCCTGCATACTACAACTCTTCATTGGTAGTCGAGTCATGAAGAAATTTAACAGATTAAGTATATCACCAAGTATAGGATGAAGTTTAAGAATATCGTTGTCTTTGTTAAGAAGAACAACGCCATTTCCTTTATCAATTTTGATAACATGGACGTTATCTTACTTGAATGATATGATCTCCAGAAATGTTGAGATCCTATTGCTAATATTGGTAGAGATCGTGATCAGTAATAACATCTAATCAGCGCCCAAAAATCACAATCATTAGCTGAAATTCCCCATTACGCTTACTTGGTTGTCATGGAGACACATTGTCGCAACATCACTAATCGGAACTCTCGGCTACAATTATAATAACCCGCGTGTTTTACTCGCAGCATATTTCAATTTTGAAGCCCCCCAGTGACACAGCGGTATGTCTGCGGACTTACAACGCTAGAAACTGGGTTTCGATACCCGTGGTGGGCAGAGCACAGATAGCCCATTGTGTAGTTTTGTGCTTAACTTCAAAAATAAAAAAACAAACATCAATTTTGAAAATATTAAAATTAATCAATTTCCTCCAACTTCATAACAGTAACTGTTACACTCCTACTGTGGATGTCCGCAGGAAGGGGCAAGGGGGTCACTTGACCCACCCTGGATTTAAAAAAGAAAAAAAATCTAGATATGTAAAATTATTCTTCTATATTATTGGAAAATCATAAAGTATTTGTATTTCGATTTCTTAATTTTTTCAAACTTGAGTTACTTGACACCCCCCTATTTATTATTTTTTGGTGGGCGCCCTTGACTCCTACATAGTACACTAAATCATTTCGCGAAAAATTGGAGAAAAATGACTTATTATGAGAACTTGACGGGTACTGCATACCTGATGATGATAGCCCAAAGCACACCTCTCCCCCCGTGAATATATTTATAAAAATTAAATACAGACTAATTGATCACTAGACCACTTTAAGTTAACATTATTTTAAGTTACTATGACAACATTAAAAGGGTATATATGTAAACTACCTCATTTTAACTTAGAATATATGTGAAATAACGAATACATCTTGAACTTTTTGCGCAGTGTAAAACTTTACACAATCAAATAAAGCGACAGTGTATTTTTGCATAAGTGTTACCATAATTACCTACATGGACATGGCCTTGAAAGAATCAGAGCAAAATTAGCTCTGATCCTCATGTAGTAATTATGATAACATTACTCAGGAACCCATAACATATGCTGGAGGAGGAAGAGGTCAAACCTGACCCGCCCAGGTCTTAAATGACCAAATTCCGATGCCGAGAGAGAGAAGGACACTTATTCAGCTCAGTAGGCTAACAAAGCCAAAATCAGGAAGAAGGTCCAAAGAAAAGACCCCGAAATTCATAATAAAATTCACTGCCTTTATCATCACAATTAATAATTTGCAGGGTTACACTTGACCAAGTAAGAATATATCTTTGAGAATCAGTTTTTCGCCTGATTTCAGAATTTATCAAGAAGAAAATCTGAACACAACTTCAAAATATACAAAAGTCAAAATGCTAATCAAGCAATACTTCAAGGAGATCACCAAATATACGTAAAAAATTTTGTTTTCGTAAATACTATAAATTGGATAATCATTCTCCATACGTATATTGTTACTAGATTATAATGAATGTTTAGATATCATTTTGAAAATAAAAGTTAATCATTATTTCCCGTCATACGACGGGCATTTATCTTGTAGTCAATAAAGGTAATTTGATGATGACAAAACCTTGTCGAAACGTTGTACATTTGCTGTCATGTTAAACTTATATTAAAGTTTTTCTTCATTACCCATTTAAGCCGTCTCCAGCCATTATTAAAGGTAATTTATTTCGTGTGAAACATTTGTGCTTAGTCTCTATTATTTCTAATTGAGTCATTTTTATTTATATTTCACATTCCACATCTTTCATTTGGAATACAACAATGACAAACAGTATTCATATCAATTATGTATCTTCTACGAGATGAACTGTAAACATTTAAAATAAAAATCACAATGAATATAATTAATCTTAGTCATCAGCATCAGAGGCACAGCGGTATGTCTGCGGTTACAACGCTAGAAACCGGGTTTCGGTACCAGTGGTGAGAAGAGCACAGATAGCCCATTGTGTAGTTTTGTATTTAACTTCAAACATTATCAGCTTTTTAAATTTCTAACACCTTCGCCATAGCTTAAAAATCAAATTAAATGTTCGATATGCATAAAGCTGTAGTTGAACTTCTGACAAATCGAAACTGTCAATACACATTTCACTCTGGTAAAACATTAAAAACTGATCAACAATTATAAAAGTATAAAAATTGAGAAAAATAACAAGTCTATTACTTTGTTTCTTAAAATATATTTATTGCTTTTTAATATCAAAACATTGTTTTGCAAAGTCAATTATTTGAGAAGTAATAACTAACCACCAACAACCTGATAGTATGCTAACTACCTAGTACAACTTCCAAAACACATCAGTTGATATAAAATCTATGGGCAGAAGCGTCGCTAGGTGCTGGCACACAATGCCCGTGCCCCATATCCTCAGTTGGTGTCTTGAAAAACCAGAATAGAAAACTGTGATCGATAACACACTCAATCGTCGAAAATTCCCACACGCATAGGCTTCAGTTTCGAATATTTTAAGTACCTCTGTCTTGGGATAAATATCTATATAAAAAGTAAGATAAATCATTAACATTTTATATACGACTTATATTTTAGTTTTTTCTTTAAAAAATTAAATAGTTAATTCTTCATTTATTAATCAGGCAGCATAATTCACGTATGTGGCTTAAACTTACGGTTTAAGTGCCAAAAGATGTAAAAGCACTAGAAGTCAATAGGCCGGAAATTCGTGATAAAAATCAAATTAACCGCAGTTTCTTTTAGTTGTTGTTGTTATTTTCAGATTCCCATTAACCGTCCATTGTGGATCCAAAATCAAAGGCACGTAAAAACAGCACTTCATATAAATATTTTGTCTCCCACAAATCCCTGCCCAAGAGGCCTTTCGATAATACCAGAACTCGTCAGTTGGGCTGCATGATGAGACAAAAAATTCTCTGAAACGATATTTATACATACATTGTAATATTTTAAAAATCAGGTTTAAACGCCGAAAGGAATGTGGAAAAAAATCCATTTGCAGTTTAACACGATTTTTATCACAACTTTTAGGCCCATTGGCTTTTATTGTTTCAGCATCTAAGCTGTAACTTTTAGAATATTGTTCTTGTTGCGTATATGCTTGTTTGTTAATTTCCCGTAGAAATTCTTTCCGATAAACTTCAGCGATACTAGACTTTTCTTAATTAAAACTAGTTTATTCTTTCTCGATACAACTGTGTAATACACAGAATGCCCACAGTCACTTTAAACTTAACTACTTTTATAAACACACGCTATAATTCATAGCGATTCTCACACTTTACCTACGGTGTCTACTGCTCGCTTGACTCAATTATCAATTATTTCTCTTCAATCTATCGCCGTCTTATATACTAAAAAAGAGGGCATCTAGCAAACACTGGGACATCCTTAATTAAAGGTACAGAATTTACAAACACAAAATTAAAATACAACAAAGTCTCTTAATTTTACAGG